AAAAAAAAAAAAAAAAAGTTTTGCTTCTGAGTCACGACAGGATTTAAATCAACCTCCCACCTCCCAGAGACACTCAACATTAAAGTAAAACACTGTTCATAGAGGGTAGCTGTAACTTAATCAGTAAATCTAAAATAAACAGACTTAGGTTGCCATCTTTGGAGTAGTTATCAATCTACTATGTGCTCTTTATGAATGGGAAGTATTTTCAATTAACGTCACAATCTTTAATGTTTTATTGTTCTTTTAAAATATATTAAAAAGCTTTGTCTATATAGAAAGTCCAGGTTTTCACAAACATTGCTTTTTATGTCTCTCTTAGTAAAAAGAACAGTTTGATGTCTTTTAGTCTTGATGGACACAACGCAATATATCCTAGCACTTCCTAAACAAGAAAAGAAAACTGACCTTTTGGTTCCCTTGCTAGATAGGCCAGAAGTAGAACAGATGAGAAACAGGAAAATTATCCCCACCATACCTCCTTTCAAATGTTATAAGATTAGCACATGTGAAGTGCCTTCTCCTTTAAAATGGTAAAAGTCGGGAAATTCTTCAAGGATGGAAAAGGACAAAGAGCATATATGGCAAAAGGAAGTCCTGAAAACTTACCTTAAATATGTTCAAAAATGAAAGAGGAACTTTAAAAATAAGTACAATAGCTGGGCACTAGCGGCTCATGCCTATAATCCTAGCTACTCAGGTGGTTGAGATCTGGAAGCATAAGAATCTTACCTCCAATAAACTACCCAAAAAAACCTCAAGTGGAACTGTGGCTCAAGTGGTAGAGCACTCACCTTGAGCAAAAGAAGCTCAGGGACAACGTCCAGGCCTAGAGTTCAAGCCCTAGGACTGGAAAACAAACAAAAAAATTAGTATAATAGCTGGGTATCTACCAGTGGCTCACATCTGTAATCCTAGCTACTTAGGAGGCTGAGATGTGAGGTTTGAAACCAACCCAGACAGGAAATTCTTGTATTTAAGAGATTCTCATATCTTAAAAAAAAAAAAAAAAAAGCTAGAACTGGGCATATGACTCAAATAGTTGAGGACCAGCCTCGAGCAAAAGAGCCAAACAAGAGCATGAGGCCCTAATTTCAAGCCCTACTACCAGCAACAATTTTTTCTTAAATAAAATGGGTTTCTTCTACATAACAATTCTAACATTTTAACTTTTCCAAATTTTAGACTTGTATCTGACAAATAAAAACATCACCAACTGTACTTCTGTACTCAGGTTACACCATGGTTCATCTGACTTAGTATAACATACCTTTAATTTCACTGGGAATGGGCTGTGTCGCTTTTTTACTTCCATCCATGGTTCTGAATCCAAGTCAGGTAAACTGGTAGATAAACCTCTAGACATTGCTTGAAGATTACTTGTTTCATTCTTCTGATGTGGGCTCAATGGACTTCCAATTCTTGGAGAAATTGGGGCAGACCCTACAATTTTAAATTAGTTCTATGTTAAAATGGTTTTCCTTGCTTATGAAATACATTTTCACAAGCATTCTAACTTCAAGAGTATCAGTATGACTAACTAATTATGATGGTAATCTATTTGGGAATCAAGTTATCAGTGAAATCTTTTTTTTTTCAGTGAAATCTTTTTAAGTAAAGATTAAGACCAGTAAGTTATAATTAAATCAAATTTCAACTGCTCTTATATCATAGTTATTCTATAGCATGAAGTCAAAATTAGTTTATTATTTCACTAGGACTTAGTTATTACTCCTACTTTACATATTTAACAAGATTAATGTACTAATTGAAGACTATCCAAATATCATCTTGGCTCATAATGAATACTGAAAAGTACATGTCACTATACTGAAGTGTACAACTTCAGCAATAACTTTCAAAATATCTAAAAATTGTTGGAATTTAAAAGGTCCTTCTTTTCCATACTAGAAATGCCAGTTTATTTCAAATAAAAATGTATTTCCATAAAATTCAAGTTTTCTTTATATTTTTTAAAAGCTACAGCATTTTTAAGTTTTATATTTTCATGCTCAGAAAGATGATGCAATATGGACTTGTTTTTAAAAGTACATATTGAAACATGTTGCAAACCTGAAAAACACAAATTTTTAAATGTAAAACTGCAAAAGTCATTGTTTATCCTCAATTCATTGAAAACTACACAGTTCAATGTTACATCAGAAAGCTGAAATAAGTCAATACCAACAATCTTTTCATTTATTAGAGGTATGCTGCAGGTCTGAGTAAAAGTGCTCTGAAATTTTTACTTCCATGTACATGAAGGTTTTAGTACTTCTCCCAGAATATTTTACTTTTAAAAAGAGACATATTTCTGAAAAGAAAAGCTTCTAAAACTCTGCTTTCAATACAGCAGACCTTGACTGTAGGTATAGCTGTGTCAGAGAACCTGCCTTCCATGTGAGGCCCTGGATCAATATCCAGTGCCACAAAACAAGCTAAAACACACAATCAATTAATTTTTGTCCACATCTGTGGCTAGCTGGGGCTGGAGAGTGGTTTGAATGGTACAGACTGACTGTGAAGATACCAGAAGATTTGGAGGTGACAGGAATTTGTTATATCTTAATTGTACTGTTGGAATCACAATAGTATACTGGTCAGAACTATATTCTTAAACTGGATGTGCGTAAATTACAAGTTAAAATTGTTTTGAAAAAGTTTTTGTAATAAGAAAATTTTGCAACTAGCTATATGCAATTACTGACCTCTTGAAAGGTCAGTAATTTTTAAAGGTGCTCAGAACAAGTGTAAAATGTACACCAGAAAATACCTGGTATCATGCTTTCTCAAATACTATCAAAGTTTAGCACTGAGTGTATGTTGTAAATAATATGTAGATATAATAAAACTAAAATATCTAATAAAAATAGCGAACTTAAATGTTTTGTAGCAACTATTTCTATTGGATACTGCTGTTCTATATCATTCTTGACCCGGTATATCAACTGATACTTTTTTTGGCTGGTCTTGAGGCTTGAACTCAGTGCCTGAGCTTCTTTTGCTCAAGGCTAGTGCTCTACCACTTGAGCCATAGCACCACTTCCGGCTTGTTCTGTGGTACTGAGGAATCAAACCCAGGGCTTCGTGCATGCTAGGCAAGCACTCTACCACTAAACCACATTCCCAGCCCCTCAACTGGTCCTTTACAAATAATTCAAATGGAATACAAGGTTTAGATTTCTTCACAATGCTAAAGCTGCATGGTTAGAAAAAAAATATGAATTCATGGATACTTCCTAACAGTATGAATTTGTAAATATAATAAATAAAACTTTAAAAAGAAGACAATCACATTATCCTGCAGCATTTGAGGAATGACTTTGCTCCCTACACAACTAAATACCTAAATTACTACATATACGAATTACACATTTACGAATGACAAGAACAGCAACTAGCATATGGTATAAAAATCAGTAATTACTATTTTAATGTAGAAACGTAATCTTCTAACATCCACTTCATGGTTTGTCATGTAATCATCCCCAAATGTTCATTAAGCTTGAACTACACTTCCACCATATGTTTCATTGTTTGTAAAACATATGTTCTTAGAAATGGAATTACATTAAGATATCAAAGAATTTGGATAAGATGAAAATTTAAGACTTCTAATAGGATGTTTTATATTGGCTTATACATATGCACTGTATGGTTTTCTACACCCTTATTTAGTATATAAAAATATACTAAATGATATATTGGTAGAGTTTAAGAGTAATAGCCAACCACAAATCTTTCTAGACTGAATAAGTAATTTGAATTATCAAATCTATTTATGTAGATGTAAATTATTAGGACACATACTTTAACGATTTCTTAGTCACATTTTGTGAAAACAGAAAATTCACCTTTCCCGCTTTTCCACTAAAATTTTCAGCTTGGCTTTCCAAATATAAATTGCTATATACACTCTTATCTAGTATGACTTTTTTCCCCTTCATCAGGAGATCACAGCACTTTCCAAAGGATTATATAGTTTTTGTGTGGCATTTTCAAACATTTCCGCGTATCGTATCATTTTCAAAGGAAATCACACCACTTATTTAATAATCATGATTTTTAAAGGAAAAACAGAATCAAGATTGTCAGGAAACCGAGTTCTCAATTTGATGATTAAGAACCTTAAGTTGATAGTACAACACTACGTCCACTAACAGAGGAAAACCTCATTTCAAAAGTCATCTTACCATTCTCATAATCAACCTTTTGTGGTGCATTAAGGTCTTCTGCTCAGTGCAAATGTCAACCCATGTTACAATTCAACCTCCAAAGAGGAAAAAATAGAATTTAAATCTTTGATAAAGAGGATGGATTATAATATTTTACAATATTAAAATCTTGAAAGGTTATGTTGTCCAAGGTTATGTTTTTAAAGGTAGCTACACTTGACAGTCTTTTTTTCCCATTTCGTTTTTCTTAAAAAAATTTTTTTTTTGTATGGGTACTAGGGCTTGAACTCAAGGTCTGGGCTCTGTCCCTTAGCTTTTCTCAGTCAAGGCTGGTGCTCTACCACTTGAGCCACTTTGTTTTTGCTGGTTAGAGATAGGAGTCTCATGGACTTTCCTGCTTGGGCTGGCTTTGAACCATGATCTTCAGCTTCCTGAACAGCTACGATTACAGGAATGAGCCACTGGTTCCTGGTGACTTCTCATCTCATTTCTACGTCACTTTTTTGGTGACACACCAGTTCTCCATTGACTTTAGGAAACTAGGTTTTCTTATCAAAAGTGAATTGTTACAGTCAAAATTTTGGGATTCATAGAGAAAGCTTATATACATATTTAGTCCTATGACCTAAAATAAATCAACATAATAATTCTATGACACTCCATTCTTTATTTCATTCATTTAATCACCTACCTTCTTATAACATTGTATAAAAAATCTAATATTTGGCCAGACACCAGGTAATAAAGTCCTTGAGACTCTTATCTCCAATTAACCACCAAAGCTGAAAATGGAACTGTGGCTCAAGTGGTAGAACACTAACCTTGAGTGAAAAGGCTCAGGGACAGCACCCAGGCACTGACTTCAAGCCTCAGGACTGTGAGACATGCACACACACATGCACACACGCACACACACACACACTCATAACATTTGTGAACTTTTATTATTCCCTGACTTTTTTGTGGATGTATGTGAATGTCATTAGTATGTTTAAAAAAAAATCACAAAAATGTACAAAGCGTTGATTTTATTCTTGCAATTTTATTAATAATGCACAAATGGTTAAGAGACAGGCATCACCAACTTGACTGACCTATCTTTGCTATCCTGAGGGAAAGGGATTTTCTATTGTATCCCACTTACCCAACAACTGCTCATAAGATGGCTGAAAAATATCATCTTGGACCCAAGTTTACACAATAAATAAATGTAACTTATACAGTCATTATATCTTTTTAAAAAATAAACAAAAAATTAAAACAATGTCACTTTTCTTCAACATTTAAAACACTCACCCAAATTTCTAACTGGAAATAGAAGAGACTAACAAGAAATATGAGATAAAAGTATCTTTGAAACTGTCCATCATGGTTTATTGATGGGCAGCTCTCTCATACTGGTGTATAAAAATACATTTCTTAAGAGTAAAGGAAAAAATACCCTTATTAATTTCTTAAATTTCTTACTACTTACGTGTCCACATTAATAATCTTACAGTCCATGTGAAACACCATGACAACATGTGTTTTGCACTGTACTTACTGAAAGGAAAATCAAATAGCAAAGGAGCTAACAACCTGGGAAATGCTACTCAATCCTCTCTTTCTGCTTTATTGATCTGGGCACAAGTATATATGCTTGGAAACAAAACACAGAATCTTGCAGTATTTCCACAATGATAAAATTAACTTTCCCACCGTGAATAAAAGTAGCCCATGAAGCCCAGGCTAATTTCACAGAAATAGGCAGCTCCTGTACAACAATAGCAGTCTTCTGGTCTGTCTCACATCATCCCAAAGGTGGTTATCTCCACTGTAGTGCTGGCCCAACCTCCTTCACAAGGGGTTGAGAGTAGATATTCTTGCACAGAAGGCAGTCTGGTCGCTCTCACTTCTGCAGCACAATTTGTTCCAATATTTACAATGGCATTTCAGTGAGTCACCTATTCCACTGCGTATTCCGACCAAATGACATCCAAGAGCATCAGTAGATCATCACCCTGACTGAAAAAAGTTTAAGCACACATTTTTTTCCCAAGAGGGAATGTCTTTAAAATGATCCAGGAAAAAAAAAATCTTAATAATAAAGTAGTTTTTGGAAACCCTATAAACAACCAGATTAAATAGAACCCCAATGGTGCTTTAGAAGGTGGGTCATCTTATCTTTCAAAGATTAAGGTTAATGCATATTGGCAGCAAAAGTAAAGGAAAGCTATCCCACTCCTGAGTCAAAATTTCTAGACTACTCAAATCTCACAGGAGGAGAAACTGACATATCTATAGTCATTCAGTAAAATTAAGATGGGTAGGAACTCCACAGATAATAAAAATACACATGTATTTTAATAGGAAACACAAGAGCTCCATCCATAATTCTTAGATCCTTAATTAAGTTATAGCTCTGTGTGGGAAACAATGTGAATAGGATGAAGAAAATTATAAATCATTTAGTTATCTTTAATTTTTCTACAAAAGCCAATAAAATAAAGAAGATAAGTAAAATGGATCAAACAGCCCACTGTTATGCTGTTTACTGTAGAAGAAAAGCTGTTACCTGTATGTGAGCAAAAGGCTTGGCCTGGTACAAACTCTGGACAATCAATCAACTGAGAGAAGTCTGTTTGTGGCACATTTCGTGGAGGAGGGCCTGGGATTGGCCATTTTTCTGGCTCTATCTTTTTCCTCATTTTCTCATCCACAATTTCGACTTCTGTACTATCCTTCAGTGCCTAAAAATAGAAATTTCAAGCTATTAAAGAACTCACTCAAAAAACTAATTGCATCTTATAGTTGTAGTAACCTAAATATTATAGATTTGAAGTTTGCAGATTACCTTGCAGTTATTAGTTGTAAAAATATCCATGAAACAAATGGCTATTGATAACAAAGTGAATTTTAAAATGTTCCTATAAAATAGCAAATAATTATACTTAATGCTGATTTAACTTCTACTAGGTAACTTTTTTCCCCCACAATTAGAATAGTCACTTAGGGACCAAATAGAAGCCTTCAACTTTTTTTTTTTGGGTCCGGTCATGGGGCCTGAACTGTGGGCCTGGGCGCTGTCCCTCAGCTCTTCAGCTCAAGGCTAGTGCTCTACCACTTGAGCCACAGCACCACTTCCGGCTTTTTTCTTTTTGCTTATGTGGTGCTGAGGAATCGAACCGAGGGCCTCAGGCATGCAAGGCAAGCACTCTACCACTGAGCCACCTTCCCAGCCCAGCCTTCAACTTTTATCAGTGTGTGTGTGTGCGCGCATGTACATGCCAGCACTGGGACTTGAAGTCAGGGCCTGGGCACTATCCTCTAGTTTTTTCACTCAAGACTAGTGCTCTGTCAGTTGAGGCACAGCTCCACTTCAGCTTTGTGCTGGCTAACTAGAATTAAGAATCTCACTGAGGGGCTAGTCAGGTGGCTTAGTGGTAGAGTGCTTGCCTAGCATGAAGCCCTACATTCCTCAGAAAAAGCTGGAAGTGGCTCTGTGGCTAAAGTGGTAGAGTGCTAGCCTTAAGCAAAAGCAGCTCAGAGACAGTGCCCAGGCCCTGAGTTCAAGCCCCAGTACTGGCAAAAAAAAAAAAAAAAAAAGAGTTACACTGACTTTCCTTGCAGGCTTTGAATCACAATTCTCAGATCTAAGGCTCCTTAGTACCTTGGATTTACAATCCTAACAACCACAAGTCTAGATATTCACCCAATAAAAATAAAAATGTGTATCCACACAAAGCTGTACTCATAATATCTCAAAAAAGACAATTTAAATGCCTAACATGTATATAAACAGGAACAACTATACTATAAAATACTAGTTAGTAATGTAGAAGAAGCTACTTTTTCCCCCAAGTCCTGGAGCTTGAACTCAGGGCCTGGGCACTCTCCCTGAGCTTCATTTGCTCAAGGCTAGCATTGTACCACTTGAGCAACAGCATCACTTCCAGCTTTTTCTGTTTATGTGGTACGGAGGAATGGAACCCAGGGCTTCATGCATGCTAGGTGAGCACTCTACTACTAAGCCACAATTCTAGCTAAGAGGAAATTATTAAAGTATGCAATAACATAGATGAATCTTAAAAGCACCATGCTTAATGAAACCAGAAATGAACCATGTCTGATGCTCCATGCCTTTAGTTCCACCACTAAGGATACTTAGGCAGGAGAATGGAGCAGTGTAGAGCTAGTAAATGGGACCTTGTCTCAAAAAAAGAAAAAAAAAATCAGAAACAAAGGCTTCAAATACCAAGATTTATTTCTGATACTTTGGAAAAATTAAAAATCAAAACTAAAGGGACAAAAAAGGTATCAATGGTTGTTGCTAGGAGGTATATGCAGAAATGAATGGCACACAAGGTTAAAAAAAAAACAAAACCTCTCTGTGTGTATGATCTGATCCTGCCTCTTGAATTCAGGGCCTGTTTTGCTTAACTATAGTGCTCCATGACTTGAACCACAGCACCACTTCTGGTTTTCTGGTGGTTTATTGGAGGTAAGAGTCTCAAGGACGTTCCTGCCTAGGCTGTCTTTGAACTGTGATTCTCAGCTCCCAGCCTTCTGAGTAGCTGGGATTACAGGTGTGAGCTATCGGTGCCTGGCTTAAGGTATATTTTATGTTTTATAAAATAGAAATAAGCTGTGAGTTGTTTTCTGAGCACAGGTCAACTCAGATTGTCAGGTTTTGTTTGGTAGGTCACAGGGCTTACACAGGGCACAGGCGCTGTCCCTGAAGTTTTTTGCTCAATGCTAGCCTCTCTCCCTTGAGTCACAGCTCTGCTTCTGACAAGAGTCTCAAGGAACTTACTTGGCTGGGCTAGTTTTGAACCAAGATTCTCAGATCTCAGCTTTTTGTGTAGCTAGGATTACAGGCTTGAGCCACTGACACTAAACCAGATTATCTACTTTAAATGTTTTTTTTTTTTTTTAACTAGCTTTGAAACTCATCCACCTCAGCTTCCTGAGGAGCTAGGACTACAGATATGCAACCCTATATTTCATATACATTTTTTTGGAGAAGACCTTTAGACAAGTTTCACTATGTAGTCCAGGCTGGCTAAAACTAACAATCCTCCTGGTCCCACTTCCAGAATCATTATAGAAACTGGACCCATTGTAACAAGAAGACGGACAAGATGTTATATCAAAAAGCGAACTTTACAACTTTGGCCGGGCAGGGATGATAAGGGGAAAAAAAGGAGGCAACAATGCTTGATAAGAAATGTACTCATTACTTTGCTCAAATAATTGTACCCCTCTGTATGGTATTTTCACAATAACAAAAACATTAATAAAAAACAAAAAAAAAACAAAAAGAAACACGTCACCAGGCTTTTAACATTCTTTACCTTTTTTTAAAGAAATGCTTCTCATTCACAGGATAACTGAGTTGAAAGTACAGATTGATCTTTTAATGAATACTTACCTCTAAAATGAGATTAAGGTTTGTAGTGAGAGCCTGGACACGGTGAAAACCAGCAATCAGGGAAATAGGCAAGAAACCTTGTTCATCCATTTTTCTCCGAAGAAAGAAGTCTCGTTCTAAATTTTCTATACTAAAATAATATTCACTGACAAAAGTAAACATAAATTTCACCCATTATTCAATAGTATAAAAATATCCACTGAGTATATATCATCAACTTCTATGAAAATAATTGGCTTTCGTAGCAATGTTACAATATAGACATAATATAGATGACTTTATACAACACAGGGTATAACAGCAAAGAAAGCCTACTGAATAGTAAGTGTAAACTTTACAAAGTACTGTTTAAATAACTAAAACTAACTTCTATTCAGATCAGCTTCACCTAAAACAATAATCGTTTTACTTTAAAACATTTGGGTTAAAAAAATTTTTTTTTGGTACCAGTACCAGTGCTAGGTACTTTTGTGTTCAAGGCTAGTGTACTAACACTTGAGCTATAAATCTACTTGCAGCTTTTTGGTGGTTAATTGGAGCCTTATAAGCTGTTCTAACTAGGTGTGCTTTGATCCTCAAACCTCACTCTCCTGAGCAACAAGGATTACAGGTGTAAGATACTGAATCCAACAATAGTTGATATTTTTGTTTGCTTAGTTTTCTTTTTTTGCTCAAGGCTTGTGCTATACCACTTGAGCTATAGCTCCACTTCTGGCTTTACAGTATTGTAGTGGAGATATCAAGTTTCACAGACTTTCCTGCCTGAGCTGGTTTTGAACTCTGATCTCCAGATCTCAGCCTTTTGAGTAGTTAGGATTACCAGTATGAGCCACTGGTACCTGGCCAACATTTATTTTTCTAATGAGTCAATTCAGTGACAAATTCCACTACTTGCTTCACTTGAACACTAAGGAACAACAGTACACATGTCACCTCCCTGCCTCCTAAAACAATGGGATGTAATACTTGGAATTATTTTATTGAATTCACATTCAAATGTACAATAGTTTGCTACATTTTCTAAACTGACAAAGTAATGACATCATGTAATGCTTCTGAACCCTAGTAACTAGCATAAAACTGAATAAAATATGATAAACACATAGACATATGAGTATACCCAGAGTTATTATATATTTAAATGATGATTCAATTGCCTTTAAAAAAAAATTCGGTGGGGCTGGGAAGGTGGCTCAGTGGTAGAGCGCTTGCCTTGCATGCATGAGGCCCTGGGTTCGATTCCTCAGCACCACATAAGCAGAAAAAAAAGCCAGAAGTGGTGCTATGGCTCAAGTGGTAAGTGCTAGCCTTGAGCTGAAGAGCTGAGGGACAGCGCCCAGGCCCAGAGTTCAGGCCCCACGACGAACAATAAATAAATAAATAGAATAAAGCATGTTCATTTGCAAGCAGACGCTCCTTCCAGTGCACATACAAAAGGAAGGGACAATGAACCCTAACAACCCATTAGCCTAATAGCCCTGCATCTCAGTTCAAGACTATTCAGTCTCTATAGGAAATATGTGCAGGATATCTCAACAAATCTGGCATTCATAGATGCACATTTGTTATACTTGTCAGTCTGTCCATTACAGTTCATACCAATTAAAGGACAGCCCACAATCACAACTATCCTTAACCCTTAAATTTATTGCAGATGAAAGGTTTGATTCTCTGGAGTTCTATTTCAGCCCACTACATTCTTGCAGTAAATCTCATTTTCCCTTCAATAAACTGTCATTTTCATTTAAAAAAAAAAAGGAAGGAGGGCTGAAGGAGTGGCTCAGTTGGTAGAACACTAGCCAATGAGTGAAAAGCATCAGGTACTAAATCTGAGTTCCGGTCTTAGACCAAAATATATATAAAGTAAAAGAATAAAACAACAAAAAGTGGTTATCAACGAGGAGATAGTCTATAGTTTAGTAATCTTACTTTATGCCCAAATCACAAAGGTTTTTTTTTTTTTGGGGGGGGGGTCATGGTGCCCAAACTCTGGGCCTGGGCCCTGTCCCTCAGCTCTTCAGCTCAAGGCTAGCGCTCTACCACTTGAGCCACAGTGCCACTTCCGGCTTCTTTTCTTTTTCTTTTTCTTTTTTTTTTTGCTTATGTGGTGCTGAGGAATTGAACCCAGGGCCTCAGGCATGCAAGGCAAGTGCTCTACCACTGAGCCACCTCCCCAGGGCCCCAAATCACAAAGTTTTTAACAGAGTAATGAAAAAGTACAAATATAAAAGTAAATGGTTAGGCCGGGCACCAGAGGCTCACGCCTGTACTCTTACTCAGGAGGCTGAGATCTAAGGATCACAGTTCAAAGCCAGCCTGGTTAGTAAAGTCCATGAGACTCTTATTTCCAATAAACTACCAGAAAACCAGACGTGGAGCTGTGGCTCAAGTGGTAGAGCTCTTGCCTTGCGCTGAAGAGCTGAGGGACAGCACCCAGGCCCAGAGTTCAAGACCCACGACCGACATCAACAAAAGTAAATGATTAGGCAATTTTCAACTACTTAGGCTAAATTCTACTTTGAAGAACTAGGCAAATATTGTTAAAAATAATTATTTTAAGCTCTACTTCTCTGGAGGAAGAAAAACAGCTCTTACAAAACTACTGAAATATTGACATCTTAGAAGCACAATTATTTACTCTTCCTAAGTCCTGAAGAGACAAAAATTCAGTCATTAAAAAAATAAACATTTGATTTTTGTTACATCCCCAAACCCTTAGTGATTTAGTGTCATTGACAGTTATGAAGCACCACTCTTCAAAGCAAGATCTCCAGAAATCAATGAAAGCTAACAAGCCACCCTTAACCTAGTGCTTTGTTAAGATTGCTAAAAACTCTACCGCTGAAAACAGTAACAAAAAAGAAGTCAAGACTAATGCCACGTTGACATTCTGCTAAGTGTCCTAGGGAATATATCATGTCTTACACCTGGAAGCTCTCCATTTAACACTGCATGAACAGAAGTTTGAACACTGCTCCTCCCTCTCGTGTATGAGCACATTAGAGGCTGATTATCCTGATATGGAGTGTCTACTGCCAGGACTTACAAGGGACCTGGCAGCCAAAGTTAGAAATGAGCTGCTCTGCACTGTAAGCCAATCAAATCCATGGAATGAAGGCATCCACAAGATGTTTAGCTCTCTTGATAACAGGTGGCTCACACCTGTCATTTTGGCTACTCAAGATGCTGAGATCAGAGGACCCTGGTTCAAAAACAGCCATGGCAGGAAACTCTATGAGACTCTTATCATCTGTTAACCACCAGAAAACCAGAAGTGGAGCTGTGGCTCAAAGTGATAGAGCACTAGCCTTGAGCAAAAGAGCTCAAAGACAGGGCCCAGGCCTTGAGTTCAAGCCTCATGACTGACAAAACAAAACAAAAAAAACAAAGATGTTTAGCTGATGCAGAAATTATTTTCGAATATTCTAGTAACAGAGTAGGCTCCACTTTTTCTTAAATGCTTTAAGTGCTTTTTTAAAATGCCAAGTCCTTTCAAAAATGGCCCTTTTCCCTTCACCTTATTTGGACAGAGGAAACTTAAAAACTCTGAAATTTTAGCAAGTTAGTTAAGCAAATTACTTGGGAAGGTTTTATATTAATATATTATGTATACATGCAAAATATTCCATGCCATACTAATAATATGCAAAGGGTTTTTTTCCATATAGATAAGAAAATAAATGGATAGCTCTTTTGAATTCAAATTAGTACCAGAAAGCAACTAAAGAGAACTACAATATAGGGCACTGTTGGCTCACATCTATGATCCAAGCTACTCAGGAGGCTGAGATCTGAGGATTGTGGTTCAAAGACAGCTTGACAATTAAGTCTGTGAGACTTGTATCATCAATTAACCACCCCAAAGCAACAAGTGGAGCTGTGGTTCAAGTGGTAAGAGTTAATTAGCCTTAAGAATAGTGTCCAGGCCTGGAGTTCAAGCTTCAGAAATGGCACTAAAAACTATAGTCCAGTGGCTCATGCTTATAATCTTAGTTACTCAGGAAGCTTAGATCTGAGCAACACAGCCTGGGAAGAAAAGTCCATGAGACTTTTTTGTTAGTAATCAGTGCTGGTGGCTTACGCTTGTAATATTATCTACTCAGGAGGCTGAGATCTGAGGATCACAGTTGAGGAAAGTCCATAAGACTCATCTCCAATAAACCACCAGAAAACAGAAGTAGAGCTATGGCTCAAGTGGTAGAGGGCTAGCCTTGAGCTAAGAGACAGCACCCAGGCCCAGAGTTCATGACGAACCTCCCCCCCCCCAAAAAAAAGAAAGAATCTCTTGAGTAGCTAGGATGACAGGAGCTGTGGCTCAAGTGGTACAGTGCTAGATTTGAGCAAAAAACAGGGAAAGCAACCCAGGACCTGGGTTCAAGCCCTAGGACCGGCACACATGCAAAAAAAGTTTGAACTGAAGGATTAAGTCACTTTTTAATATGTCACAAAGAAAGTAAATATTAAAAAAAAAAAAGAATTAAAGTCAACTGCTAGCTGGGCACTGGTGGATCACACCTGTAGTACCCCCAGCTGTTGGAACCATGATCCTCAGATCTCAGTCTCTTCAGTAGCTAGGATTACAGATGTATACCCAGATGTTCATTTAAATTTTACCATATCTACTTACAAATAATGAGGAAAACTTCACTGTTTCATTTAAAATAATATGTATAATTTTATATTACAATATTTTTCATATGATGCAATATTTTATACAGAGAAATAATCTAAACAGAAGGGAAAACAGATGGCATATTAACAAAAAGCAAATAGAAAAAGAAAAACTTTACCCATTTACTAATTGGTCCTAGGGGGGAAAAAAATCAAAATAATCATCCTTCAACTTTTACTAACCAATGACATTAAAGGTTGATATTGTTAGAAAAAAGACTTGATATTGCAACAGATTTTACTTACATTTGACGTTTAATATACTCTTTAAGCAAAGTTTCTTCCACAGGATACAACTGCACACCTGTACCATCATCATAATAATACATCATACTGGTATTGGGTTCTGTCTGAAATGGCTGGTCAGCCCTTTCACCATGGTCTCGATAGCCATATGAGTAATCAAAGTTCACTTGATGTGAAGGGAAAGAAAAGGGACCACAGATTAATAAAGTTAAATCCAAATTGAAGTACTTGAAGGGAAAATAAATATTAAGCTAGCTTTATTACTGAATTTTGTCTTTTCTTTTTTGGTACTGGGGATCAAATGCAGGACAACTGCACTTGCTAAACAAGTGCTTTGCCACTGAGCTACATCTCAGCCATAAATTAAAAAAAATTAGTTTAATTAATTAATTTAAAAATTTGGGATAAGCCAGGTGCCAGGGGCTCAGACCTGTAATCCTAGCTACTCAGGAGGCTGAGACCTGAGGATGATGGTTCAAAGCCAGCCCGGCCAGGAAAGTCCATGAGACTCTTATCTCCAATAAACCACTATAAAACCGGAAGTGGCACTGTGGCTCAAGAGGCAGAGCGCTCCTCTCGAGCTGAAGAGCGCAAGGACAGTACCCAAGCCCAGAGTTCAAGCCCCACAAACAACAACAAAAATTAGGATAATGTAAAAAACTATGAAGGAACACTTAATCCTTTTTTTCCCAAGTCCATCTTATTTAACAAACAAAAAAGTCATGTCATACATCGAGGATTTCCTCTTCCTCCTCGTCCTCTTCCCCGTCCTCGGCCTCTTCCTCGGCCTCTAAAGGAACCTCGGATATTACCTCCCTCACTTCTCACACTGGACACTTCATCGTGATCATCTCTCTTTTCTCTATCTCTTCTCCAACCTTTTAAACAAAAACATTCCAATTTATAATAAAATAATATAATCACCTTTATAAAATACAGTAATGACTTTCTCCCTATTATAACTAGTTTACAGTAGTCAGGCAAACTTTAGATAAATATATACTAAGAAATGACATGAATTTGTTGGAGGGTTCATAAAAGAACTGGTATATGATGAAGACATTCTATTAAGTAAATAACATATTAGTTCTACATTTACAAAATCCAAAACCTAGTGAGTTTGCACTATATAAAACTCCAAATGGGGTCTGGGAAGGTGGCTCAGTGGTAGAGCGCTTGCCTTGCATGCTTGAGGCCCTGGGTTCAATTCCTCAGCACCACATAAGCAAAAAGAAAAAAGCCGGAAGTGGTGCTGTGGCTCAAGTGGTAGAGCGCTAGCCTTGAGCTGAAGAGCTGAGGGACAGCACCGAGGCCCAGAGTTCAGGCCCCCCCCCCCAAATAATAATAATAAAACTCCAGATGGGCATGCATGGTGGCTCATGCCTATAATTCGAACTACTAGGGAGGTAGAGATTAGGAGAACTGAAGGAGGTAGCTATTAGGAGGATTGTGGTTCAAGACTAGACTGAGTATTTTAAGAAGAGGGAGTAGAGAGTAGGGAAGAAAAGGACAGAGGGAGTAGCCGTATCTGGATACATGGTTTATAATGTGTAAAAGTATCACAGTAACCCCCCCTCCTTTGTACAACTAATATATGCTAATAAAAGTCACT